AAATAAAAATCATATCATTTTAACAAGCAATAATCATAGTCTATTTAATGATATATATAAATTAATGTATAAAGTAATGATACTTAATGAAACTTCTTACTTCTCACTTACAAAACATCTTACCCCTGGATCTACTAACTAAAAGGTTGTTCAATTTTAATACTGAGTGGGATACAATTTGCACAATAATGTATTCCCCAACGATGGTGTCCTGTAAAGTGAAGATCAGGATTGTGAATTTGCTTCCGGCCAAGTTATCAAGCTGTTCGCTTTACTTGACAGTTTGACCATAGATGTCTGCACTTATGTAGGAATATTTTGGGTATTTGAATATAATAAAACAAACGAACTGATTTTAAATGATACACATTTTAATACTAGCTTGCATATCAATGCTGAATTTTGCTTATTTTTTCTTCTGTTTTGCTTCTTTTATAGCCATTATAGCGTGCCTCATTTTCGCAAATTTATTTGATTTTCCAAACCATTTGCTAAACTTCTCCATCATCTAAAAAGAATTAAAGAAATGAGCACAACAATTTATTGACTGTTGCAATGTTTATCAAGTTTGTGAACTGTATCTGTATTAAGCCTAAGCCCCAAAATGAAATAATGGGTTAAAAAAACAGAATCGGATGGTAAAGTTCAAATTTAAACGTGAACTGTTTAGCAAGTCCACAAATGTCTATATATAATTTAAAAGTTAAGTTTCTCGTCTTCCCGTCATTTGTCATTTGCTTCGATCGGATGTTACAAAATCATGTTTCAATTCACTTAAATCAGGCGGAAGGGAAGAAGTTATAAGAACAACTTAAATGTATAAAATATGTTTGTATTCCTAACTAGTGTGGAGTTTTTGATTAGTTTGGCATTTCGATTATCTATACCTTTAACTCCGGCGGAAAAAGTGGAGGATCCAATTCGGTCAAAAAGTATTCCAAAAACTCCCGCGGATTCAATGCTTCAGACTTGAGGTGCATTTTTCGTTCCACATTTAATGTGTTAGCTATATTGTTAGTTATATCACCGGAATTATACGCTTGCAAAACTCTCGCAAGTGCTGAGTATGTGTAGTTTTCTAAATCATTCGTCGCATTTTCGGTCATCAATTCCAGCCAAAGCAAGAAGCTGGTACCATAGTCGCATTTCGGAATAAGCACTATTTTTTGAAAAGCTTTTTTTAGCTGTGGTTTGGCCGCCCACGGCATACTACTTGTGCCCAGAAGTACAATTTTGTCGGTCTTCTTGATTGGCTTCAAGATTTTTTTAGTAATAAATGGGGCAAGAAGTTTTGGGGAAATCTCTTTTTGATCAGCCGGTACCTTTTTAAAAAAAACGCGATGCGCTTCTTCAATGTATAACACAGTAGGTTGAAATTCCCTTGCGACTTTCATAACGATATGTAGAAACATATTCATGTCATCAGCGTGCTTGTAAACTTTTTCTGGACTAAGATTTATAAAAACAGCATCTGCAATGATATATATTTAATAATAAACTATTTTGCAATCTGAAGATCCATCAAATCAAGAACTAAAAGCAAATTGTTTACGTACCCAACTCTGATGAAATTATATTACACAGCAATTTCTTTCCACTGTTGAGTGGTCCAACGAGCAAAATTGATTTTGGTTTTGATATATCAAACTCGCTCATTCCCAGCATACTCTCTTGGATAACCATTTTAATGTCTCCCTTTGCAGGCCCAAGAGTTCTGAAATTGAAAGAGAGAATGTGATTTAAAGGGCAAAGGCCTTAACTATAAATTTTTTTAGTAGGCAACCCTAGAAGATACGCTAAACCAAGCGTCGAGAAGGTCTTACGTTAAGTTGTCTTCATCTCTGGTGTCATCCGCCGTAAAATTGAAGTCAGATATGAATTCATCAAAGTCTTTATGAGACACTACTTCAATGACACCCTCATCTTTAAGTTCATTATACAATGAGCTGAGAGTCCTGTCTCCTGTCGGATCCACGGGTTTCTTCTTCTTTTTGCCCTTCTTTTTCTTAGGCTTTTTAACCTTTTGGGGCTTATAGGGAACATTTTGATCAGTCGCTAAAGCCTTTCTCAGTAATTCATATTCAACCCTAGAAAAAGGAGATAATTTTTAATTAATATTGAGATACAATTTACAAAAAGGGCAAAAACATTTTACTTACCGCATATATTCATCTACCAACTCCCGCAATTCGTGATGTATTATATCTAATTGTTCTTCGGTCACCCAACTTTTAATTGGGTCATGATTCTTATTTAGATACTCATCAACATTTCTCCAATCAATTGAAAATTGCTTCATTGTCGCTTCAATTTTTTCTGTGAAAAAGAAAGTTTAAAATAGATTTGATTATATTTGGTTAATAGTATGACATAAAGAGTCATAATTGATGCGAGTAATCATTTTTCAACTAATGAGCCTTCCATTCTAAAATAGACCATATTATGTCATATTCGCGATTCCAAGCATCATTGTGTATTAAGAAATTAATATATATATTATTCTGTTTGGTATACCTATTGGCTTGCTATCGGAAAGTATGAAGCCTACATCAATTATTCCGGCAGCCTTTAATTTCAATCTTCGCTTAGCCTCCTTCATTTTCCGTAATTTTATTTTATCCCTTAATTTCTTTTTTTCCGCTTTTATCTTAGCACGCAATTTCTTCTTTTCCTCTTTTGACATTGGTTTCTTGTTGAGGGTTTCCTGAAACTCTATAGGCGTCATAGTTTCATCGATGACAACTAACACTGTACCCTTTTTAACAGGGTCCGGATAGGCGTGAAAATTCCCCGTTTTGTTGTAGCTGTGGATCAGATAGAAAACTTAAACTCTAAGTAGCCAGTGAGAGTGTTCGACTCAGAAGAGCCCTAAGCCCAGCTCCAATTGCCGAATAGTCAATTGGTTAGTTCATTGAATAACTCCTATATTCATTATTCACGTATTTTATAAATTATGAATAGGTTTTCATTCGCGCTTAATTCCAAGTCAAGAAATTGCCAAATTATATCAGATTACCCAAACATTGTGAGATATACTTACAATTCTTCGAACCAAGCTCGAATATGATCGGAAATGTCTTCCATCATCCAAGGTGAGCGCATCTGAAGAAGCCGTGTGCGCTCGTCCATAATTAGTTTTTCAAAATCTTCGTCAAGTTTCCTTCTTTTTTGTTCATTTTTATACATCTCTAGAACCGAATTCGCAAACCTATTTGGTCTCTTTAATCTACGCGTTTTTCTAATGCCCAGCATTTCCCTTTTAAATTGTTTCTTAATTTTATAAATTTTTTTGGTTTTGTAGGCTCTCCACCAAGATTGAATAATACGGGCGGCGTTATCTCGTAACACGTTAATTCGCTCCATTTCAGTTTCTGAAATGCATAGAAAAGTGTATTTATAAGCATTCGAAATAAAGATTAACGCAATTTCTCCGCCTGTGCACAAAAAAGTAAAAAACGAATATACACTCGGAAGAGTGACACCCATTGAGTTCGCACTAAGCTATCTCTAAGTTCGTAGATTTTAAAACCAGCTCGCTGGCTTAAGTTGCAATACGATAGGATTTGGGTATCTTCTAGTCGGACACTCCCGAATATTCTTACATTTTTTCTTTATTTTAAATGAAGATTGTTCGATTAAATATATTTACCATCATTACTTTCCTCTCTATTTTCGTTTTTATCTCTTAAATCTTTACAGGATTCGTCAGTCTTAATAAAATCTGCGGTGAATAAAGTTCTTTTAACGGGTATGCTCATTGCTTGATTCGGCTTAAAAGTAAACCTGTAGGTAACTTTTTTTCTCTGCTTAACCTCTAGGTATTTTTTTTTATCATATTTAATATTGGACTTGTAAACACGAGCTTGCCGTGCTCTTTCGTGTGCTTGTATAAGTTCTACTGCTTCAGTAACTTTGCTCCAGTCCTTGGCATCAGTTTCCTCTTTTTCTTGATCGTTCATATACAGTTTATTATTTGACAATATGTTTTGAATATCTAACGGACGGCGATATAAAAATTGCGGCGACCTCCATATCATTAAATCGCGCGGAGTAAGCTTTCGGGCAATTAATACTTTGTCTAAATAAATATATTCGCTTAGCTCCATTTCCTTAAGCTCCTCTTTAAGTAACATCAGCTGTTGGGTGGCATTTTCAACCAGAGTTCTGACCACTGCCCGTTTTTGTACTTGAAATGTGTTAAAGTAGATAAAGCTAAGTTTATTAACAAGTTCCACGTATAAGACATAGAGCTCAGAAAATATTTTGAATGATATTGCTTTATTCTCAGGTGGTTCAATTGTTTTTAGGCGATTTTGTTTTTTTAAAAGTTGGCCGATTTCTTTTGAAGTAGATACCCAATACTTATGATTTAAATCAAAAGACATTTTAAAAGCACGTTAATAACATAAAACTTAATAAGAAAAATAAAACTAATGTGCTTGTGTACTATTTTGACTAATGTAAATTAAGTATGCAATTGTTGTGGCAAAGCACTCTTGATCAGAGTTTAAGTCTTTGCCCATTAAGTTACTCACATTGATTGAAAATACAAGGATCATAAGTGGATGATCTGCCTTATTGTTGTATCTCGACTGTTTTGATTTTACCTAGTACTATTTCCTGCTGTGCCTCATTGTGAAAGCATTCGATAGTCTTTCTGGAGTCCGCACAACATTGGAATCACTTCGAATTTTTCATAGGAGAATAATTTGTATGGAGCTTTGGTATTAGGTAATTTGGTGCTTATACGCGACAGTGACCAGCATTACAATCTCAGAAGCTTTCGAAATAAAATCAATGAAATTATATATATATAAAAACAAATATTATGCAACATAGAAATATATTTCAAGATATTACAATAAAACTTACTTTTTAGCCACGATACACAACTACTTCGTATGCTTTTCATGGGCGCGTTGGCAAAAGCAATTTTTTTTTTTTGAAGCTACGCAATCATATGCCATTGCATGGTACCGATTAGCTTAAACAAATTCGTATGACATTGTTTTAAACCACAATAGAACAAATGGTATGTGGTAATAATTATATTTTTAACAGTACAATACATCTTAACATTAAATTATATCTTGCTGTTTTTTTTAAGGGATTTGAAACGGAACAACAACCGCCTCTCTATGATCAATTTGTATTCCTAATACTGCAGCGTGAGATTTCTCAATAAATATTCTCATCTGAAATAAAAGAAATAAGCACAACAAAATAATTAGTATCACGAGGCTGCTAGAGGAACGATCTGTTGAAAAGTAGGTTCATAACAACTTTTTATTTTTCTTTTTAAATATATGCACAATATGATCATCAATGGTCCACTATATCATACAGCTGCCATAGGACCACTCGGTCGAAAATTAATTTTTTTGTATGATATGATGTATCTTGATATCTGGAATAAGAGCCTTATAGCCTTTTCTTCATCGTTTTCCTTCAAGATCAATCTCGCATTAAAATCTGAACACCGATTTTTTTGTCGAAATTCATGTTAAAATCTTGCCCCAAGATTCGTATATAGACATGGGTCAAAATGTATAACCCCCATAACTCGGACAAATCTCATCCGATATTTACGAGGTTGGGCTTTTTCTTCATGGTTTTCCTTCTATATTAATCTGGCATTCACATCTAAGTATATATTTTTTGGTCGAAATTCATGTCAAAATCTTGCCCCAAGATTCGTATATAGACATGGGTCAAACTTTACAACCCCAATAACTCGGCCAAATCTTATCCGATTTTTACGAGATTGGGCTTTTTCTTTATGGTTTTCCTTCTATTTTAATCTGGCATTAAAATCTGAACACCGATTTTTTGGTCGAAATTCATGTCAAAATCTTGCCCCAAGATTCGCATATGGACATAGGTCAAACTTTACAACCCCCATAACTCGGCCAAATCTCATCAGATTTTTACGAGGTTGGACTTTTTCTTCATGGTTTTCCTTCTATATTAATCTGGCATTCACATCTAAGTATATATTTTTTGGTCGAAATTCATGTCAAAATCTTGCCCCAAGATTCGTATATAGACATGGGTCAAACTTTACAACCCCAATAACTCGGCCAAATCTTATCCGATTTTTACGAGATTGGGCTTTTTCTTTATGGTTTTCCTTCTATTTTAATCTGGCATCAAAATCTGAACACCGATTTTTTGGTCGAAGTTCATGTCAAAATCTTGCCTCAAGATTCGTATATGGACATGGATCAAAATTTACAACCCCCATAACTCGGCCAAATCCCATCGGATTCTTACGAGGTTGGGCTTTTTGTTCATGATTTTCCCTATACAATAATCTGGCATTCACATCTTAGTACATATTTTTTGGTCGAAATTCATGTCAAAATCTTGCCCCAAGACTTATATATGCACATGGGTCAAACTTTACAACCCCCATAACTCGGCCAAATCTCATCCGATTTATACAAGGTTGGTCTTTTTATCCATGGCTTTCCTTCTATATTAATCTGGCATTAAAATCTGAACACCGATTTTTTGGTCGAAATTCATGTCAAAATCTTGCCCCAAGATTCGTACATGGACATGGGTCAAAATTTACAACCCTCATAACTCGGCCAAATCTCATCCGATTCTTACGAGGTTGGGCTTTTTGTTCATGGTTTTCCCTCTACAATAATCTGGCATTCACATCTAAGTACATATTTTTTGGTCGAAATTCATGTCAAAATCTTGCCCCAAGATTCATATATAGACATGGGTCAAACTTTACAACCCCCATAACTCGGCCAAATCTCATCCGATTCTTACGAGGTTGGGCTTTTTCTTCATGGTTTTCCTTCTTTATTAATCTGGCATTAAAATCTGAACACCGAATTTTTGGTCGAAATTCATGTCAAAATCTTGCCCCAAGATTCGTATATAGACATGGGTCAAACTTTACAACCCCAATAACTCGGCCAAATCTCATCCGATTTTTACGAGGTTGGGCTTTTTCTTTATGGGTTTCCTTCTATTTTAATCTGGCATCAAAATCTGAACACCGATTTTTTGGTCGAAATTCATGTCAAAATCTTGCCCCAAGATTCGCATATGGACATAGGTCAAACTTTACAACCCCCATAACTCGGCCAAATCTCATCAGATTTTTACGAGGTTGGGTTTTTTCTTCATGGTTTTCCGTTAAGATTAATCTGGCATTAAAATCTGAACACCGATTTTTTGGTCGAAATTCATGTCAAAATCTTGCCCCAAGATTCGCATATGGACATGGGTCAAACCTTACAACCCCCATAACTCGGCCAAATCTCATCCGATTTTTACGAGGTTGGGCTTTTTCTTTATGGTTTTCCGTCTATATTAATCTGGCATTAAAATCTGAACACCGATATTTTGGTCGAAATTCATGTCAAAATCTTGCCCCAAGATTCATATATAGACATGGGTCAAACTTTACAACCCCCATAACTCGGCCAAATCTCATCCGATTCTTACGAGCTTGGGCTTTTTCTTTAAGTTTTTTCCTCTACAATAATCTGGCATTCACATCTAAGTACATATTTTTTGGTCGAAATTCATGTCAAAATCTTGCCCCAAGATTCGTATATAGACATCGGTCAAAATTTACAACCCCCATAACTCGGCCAAATCTCATCCTATTTTTACGAGGTTGGGCTTTTTCTTCATGGTTTTCCTTCTTTATTAATCTGGCATTAAAATCTGAACACCGATTTTTTGGTCGAAATTCATGTCAAAATCTTGCCCCAAGATTCGTATATAGACATGGGTCAAACTTTACAACCCCCACAACTCGGCCAAATCTCATCCGATTCTTACGAGGTTGGGCTTTTTCTTCATGGTTTTCCTTCTATATTAATCTGGCATTAAAATCTGAACACCGATTTTTTGGTCGAAATTCATGTCAAAATCTTGCCCCAAGATTCGTATATAGACATGGGTCAAACTTTACAACCCCCATAACTCGGCCAAATCTCATCCGATTCTTACGAGGTTGGGCTTTTTCTTCATGGTTTTCCTTCTTTATTAATCTGGCATTAAAATCTGAACACCGATTTTTTGGTCGAAATTCATGTCAAAATCTTGCCCCAAGATTCGTACATGGACATGGGTCAAAATTTACAACCCCCATAACTCGGCCAAATCTCATCCGATTCTTACGAGGTTGGGCTTTTTGTTCATGGTTTTCCCTCTACAATAATCTGACATTCACATCTAAGTACATATTTTTTGGTCGAAATTCATGTCAAAATCTTGCCCCAAGATTCATATATAGACATGGGTCAAACTTTACAACCCCCATAACTCGGCCAAATCTCATCCGATTCTTACGAGGTTGGGCTTTTTCTTTATGGTTTTCCTTCTATATTAATATGGCATTAAAATCTGAACACCGATTTTTTTTGTCGAAATTCATGTCAAAATTTTGCCCCAAGATTCGTATATAGACATGGGTCAAACTTTACAACCCCCATAACTCGGTCAAATCTCATCCGATTCTTACGAGGTTGGGCTTTTTCTTCATGGTTTTCCTTCTATATTAATCTGGCATTAAAATCTGAACACCGATGTTTTGGTCGAAATTCATGTCAAGATCTTGCCCCAAGATTCGCATATGGACATGGGTCAAACTTTACAACCCCCATAACTCGGCCAAATCTCATCCGATTCTTACGAGGTTGGGCTTTTTCTTTATGGTTTTCCTTCTATATTAATCTGGCATTCAAATCTGAACACCGATTTTTTTGTCGAAATTCATGTCAAAATCTTGCCCCAAGATTCGTATATAGACATGGGTCAAACTTTACAACCCCCATAACTCGGCCAAATCTCATCCGATTCTTACCAGGTTGGGCTTTTTGTTCATGGATTTCCCTCTACAATAATCTGGCATTCACATCTAAGTACATATTTTTTGGTCGAAATTCATGTCAAAATCTTGCCCCAAGATTCGTATATGGACATGGGTCAAACTTTACAACCCCCATAACTCGGCCAAATCTCATCCGATTCTTACGAGGTTGGGCTTTTTCTTCATGGTTTTCCTTCTTTATTAATCTGGCATTAAAATCTGAACACCGAATTTTTGGTCGAAATTCATGTCAAAATCTTGCCCCAAGATTCGTATATAGACATGGGTCAAACTTTACAACCCCAATAACTCGGCCAAATCTCATCCGATTTTTACGAGGTTGGGCTTTTTCTTTATGGGTTTCCTTCTATTTTAATCTGGCATCAAAATCTGAACACCGATTTTTTGGTCGAAATTCATGTCAAAATCTTGCCCCAAGATTCGCATATGGACATAGGTCAAACTTTACAACCCCCATAACTCGGCCAAATCTCATCAGATTTTTACGAGGTTGGGTTTTTTCTTCATGGTTTTCCGTTAAGATTAATCTGGCATTAAAATCTGAACACCGATTTTTTGGTCGAAATTCATGTCAAAATCTTGCCCCAAGATTCGCATATGGACATGGGTCAAACTTTACAACCCCCATAACTCGGCCAAATCTCATCCGATTTTTACGAGGTTGGGCTTTTTCTTTATGGTTTTCCGTCTATATTAATCTGGCATTAAAATCTGAACACCGATATTTTGGTCGAAATTCATGTCAAAATCTTGCCCCAAGATTCATATATAGACATGGGTCAAACTTTACAACCCCCATAACTCGGCCAAATCTCATCCGATTCTTACGAGCTTGGGCTTTTTCTTTAAGTTTTTTCCTCTACAATAATCTGGCATTCACATCTAAGTACATATTTTTTGGTCGAAATTCATGTCAAAATCTTGCCCCAAGATTCGTATATAGACATCGGTCAAAATTTACAACCCCCATAACTCGGCCAAATCTCATCCTATTTTTACGAGGTTGGGCTTTTTCTTCATGGTTTTCCTTCTTTATTAATCTGGCATTAAAATCTGAACACCGATTTTTTGGTCGAAATTCATGTCAAAATCTTGCCCCAAGATTCGTATATAGACATGGGTCAAACTTTACAACCCCCACAACTCGGCCAAATCTCATCCGATTCTTACGAGGTTGGGCTTTTTCTTCATGGTTTTCCTTCTATATTAATCTGGCATTAAAATCTGAACACCGATTTTTTGGTCGAAATTCATGTCAAAATCTTGCCCCAAGATTCGTATATAGACATGGGTCAAAATTTACAACCCCCATAACTCGGCCAAATCTCA